AGACAGAAGATATTAGAAACACCAATCAAGCAGAACACAGCAAACTCCAAGACCAATAAACACGGACCAAGATTCCCAACCAATCAGGATGAAGAAAAAACCATTCTGGCACAGCAGTCAAACACGTACAACTCTTCTCTATAGTCTAGCTATAATTGAAAAGCTACTGTAGACCCAAAAGTGTTTTTTTTTCCCCAAAAAAGGCAATTGGACTTTTTTTCTTCTTTGAAAACATTTCATCAATTCTAAGTGACTGGTGCAGAATGGAAGAATTTATATCCTTTGCAATTATCTGATATCCTTGCATTCGCCATTAGTCAGTTAGAACTGAAGAAGCTTCTTGGATGAGAAGTAGTTGTCAAAGAAGAAGAAAAAAACAAAGTCCAGTTGCCTTTTGAATACAGTCACTTTTTGGGATAACCATGACCTGGATGACTGAGAATCTCCACAGACATCGAGCTAGTCGTGTTGTCTATGGAGATTCTCAGTCATCCAGGTCACGGTTGTCCCAAAAGCAACTTTTCAAGAAGCAACTGGACTTTCTGTTTTTTCTTTGAAGACGTTTCACTTTTCATCCAAGAAGCTTCTTCAGCTCATTCTCAGCTAAGAGTTGAAGAAGATTCTTGGATGAGAAGTGAAATGTCTTCAAAGAAAAAAACAGAAAGTCCAGTTGCCTCTTGAAAAAAGGGACTACTGGATTGTTGTTTTTTTGTAATGCCTGTACTAATCTTTCTCACATCTCTCCAAAGTTCTGCCTCTCACAACCTTCTTTCCCATCTGCCTTCTCCAAGCCCTGAACCTGAGCCCCTTGTTTCATCCCCACATTGTATGAAATGAGAATTCTTTGCTCTAAGCACAGTAGAAAATAGCCCCTTCTTTTAAGTGTCCTCATTTCAGAACGCTAGTCTGGGACACTTAGATTAATAAGTAGGTGTCATGATCTAGATCAGGAAGATAAACTTTCACATGGCATTAAGGTTAAAGAGAGCAGATATCTAGAACACTTATTTAGAACTGATTTTGACCTTTCTTTCTTTCCCCTTTAATTCCCTGATGACAATGGATGCTTCTATTTTTGCAATCAGTTCATTTTCATTCTTTCCCATTGGAGACTAAGTAAGAGAAGTACATTGAAGATGATATTATCATCATATGGTTCTTGTCATAAAAGATTTTTTGAAAAAGAAAAAAAGCCAAATGCTTTTACCAGCCCTGAGGGGAAGAGACTGATTAATACTATGTAATGAAGGCCATTTCACGGCTTATAGTTTTCTCCAAAATAAATCCAGGAAAAACGAGGACTTCATATTAAAACTTTTGCTTTATTTTAATAAAAAGAGGTACAGGGTGGGGTACTGAATGTGGGGAGCAAATCTATTTGCATAAATAAATGCACATGTTTCTAACCTTTAAACCTTTTAAAATTTTCTTTATAAAATAATTCTAGTTATATCCTGTGGTTTTCTGTAGTTTGATTAATATAAATGAAATCTAATTTATACTTGAGATGTGATAATATAATTCACTAAAAATAAAGTATATACCAATAGCTAACTTAAAATTTCAATGAAAAGCAAAAATACAGCCTTCCCAAAATTTGAATACAGGTGTTCCTTGAGTTTATGACCACTTTTCCAGTGACTGTTCAAATTTGTGATGGCACTGAATGGGGATAATTATAACCAGTCCTTGAGTTTTGGCTGTCACGGTGTCCCTACAATCACATGATCCAGACACTTAGTGCCTGCCTTCAATTATGATGTCACAGCAGGTCATAGCAAATCATCTTTGATTTCCAACATTCACTGCAGCCAAAGGGAGAGACAGCAAGAACTTGGAAATTACTATCATATGAGGTCCTTGCTTAATGACACATGCAGTCCTTGCCTAACAGCAGCAATTGGGACTGCAGGAACTGTAGTCACTGAGTGGTGCAATCATGTGATGTCATGCTTTACAATCAATATCGTAAATCAAGGACTACCTGTATCCTTGCAACCTTCATAATCAATACATGCATATGTTTTGTATTTATTTACTGAAACTGTAATGAGAAGCAAGCAAAACCACAATTATCAGATACAGGACAGATAGGTATGAGTAGATACATTTACATATGAATACGTTTTCCAACACCAAAATATTCATCTTCTTAGTGATTAGCAAGTTATAGGACCTCCCCTCCCTCATATAAAATGTATCAAGGGGATGTAGCATATCTCAAGAAATCAATGATCTTTGAAACATCAGCCGGTACTTGTTGCAGCCAATGGTAAGGTTTGGGATTGTCATAGAATAACAGAGTTGGAAGGGACCTTGGAGGTCCTTTAATCGAACCCCTGCTCAAATAGGAGATCCTTTAACATTTCAGAAAATGACTGTCCAGTCTCTTCTTAAAAGCCTCCAGTGATGGAGCATGCACAATTTCTGAAGGCAAGCCATTCAACTGGTTAATTGTTTTCCCCACTAGGAAATTTCTCCTTAGTTTCAGATTGCTTCTCCTCTTAGTTTCCATCCATTATTTCTTGTCTTGCCTTCTGGTGCTTTGCAAAATAGGTTGACCTCCCTCATCTTTGTGGCAGCCCCTAAAATACTGAAACACTTCTATCATTCTCCCCTAATCATTCTATAGGGGGAGGCTAAAGAATAGAATAGAATAGACATAGCTAATTCCTGCAACTGTTCTTCATATGTTCTAGCCTCCAGTCCTCTAAGCATTCTTGTTGACCTTCTCTGCACTCTTTTAGAATCTCAACAACTTTTTTACATTGTGGTACCAAAATTGAATGCAATATTCCAAGTGTGGTCTTACTAAGGCTTCTTAAAGCAGTATTAATACTTCACATGATATTGATTCCAACCCTCTATTAATGCAGTTTAGGATTGTGTTGGCAATCTAATAAGAAATTCTAACAAGAAATCTCCCCCACCCCCAAATAAAATCTGATTTAGATAGGTTCCTTTATTCTGACAACACCAACTTGTTTGTGTTTATTTGTCTAGTGATGCTTAGTTCAGTGTATTAAAGTATCTCTCAGTGACTTTGGTACATTTTCAGTAAAATACCAGTAGAAACTAAATACTGTTTGGGGCTCACCTCTTTAAGATATGAGAATCAGGGCCTTCTGGGTGCTTCCAATTGGCTCCTTTAACTGGTAGCCACCAAGGAGCAATTGCAACCTAAAAAACAGGCAAAGAAAATATTGGCGTTCTTCTGAAGGCCTACCCATCCAGCTAATTATATCAGGCAGCTGCCATTAGCAATAAGAAAACAGAGACAAGACACATATGACTCGGTGCTTTCAGTGATGGTATTTGAATGATCATATGTCCATTTAAATAAACATTTGCTGTATATCCAGGTTTTTGTCAGTGTAAGCAATTTAACCAAAATCAACTAAAATGACCACCAACCCCCCACTTCAAATTAACCATAGTTTCAATGTTATCCAAATTAGGAAAGGGTAATTATTTGCTTCGGAAAAAGCCAGTATCTTAACATAATTTCAAACAGTAGTTCAAATCTTTCATAGATGAAACTCAGCTTTCCAATTTAGAATCAGTTATGAAATCAATTTCTTTATGCTATTTGATATCAGTGATTATATCTTTACAGGTTGTTCTTGAGTTACAATCATTAGCTTAGCAAATGTTCAAAATTAAAAGTGCACAGGAAAAAGTGACTTATAACCAGTCCTCACTGGTATGACTGTTGCAGCATCCCCACAGTCACGTGATCAAAATTTGGGGCACTTGGCAAACAGCATGTATTTAGAATGGCTGCAGTATTCCAAAGTCATGTGATGACCATTTGCAACCTTCCCAGCCAGCTTTCAACAAGCAAAGTCAGTGGAGACTGACTCTGAGGGAGAGGAAGAACAGGGAGTGGAAGTGTGGCTCCGAGGTTGTGGAGGAGGCTGGGGAAGGGCAGAGGCCAGCTGAGCAGTCAGAGGAGAACCCAGGCCCATCCCCTATCCAGGCCCTAGCCTCGGGCACACAGGGAGGAAAGGATAAGGGAGAGACGTGGTCTACTTGGGAGGAGAGGGCCTTGATCCTCTTCATGGGCTGCAGGTGTGAGAACTGCATAAGGTTTGGACCTGCGTTCTGGCAAACGCTGGAGACAAAGCAGGTTTTATTTTGGTTTGAGGTTATCTTGGTTGGCATCCTTCCAACAGAGTGTGCCTTGTTATCTCCTTGAAATATTTATTTAAATATTTCTCCTGTTCCGTTGTGGAAATTTCATCATTGTAGTTTGTTTGGTTTTTATTTTCACCTCTGTCTGCTCATTAAATTTGGACTGTATTGCTTTCTTTTGAAGACTATTTTTGAGTATGTTTTATCTCCAACTGAGAATTATTGAACAGTGGGGCCAAGTTGGAAGCATTAAAGGACATTTATTTACATTTTGGATTTTATTATGTTTGTGTTACACTCTGGGACATCACAGTCAATGGGGAAGCAGGATTTCCTGGATAATGACCACGTGATTCACCTGCAGTGATTTGTTAACTACTGTGCCAAAAAAAGATCACAAAATTGGGTGTGACTCACTTAACAATCATCTTGCTTAGCAATAGACATTCTGGTCCCAATTGTGGTTGTAAGTCAATTGTGGACTACCTGTATGTTTTCTCACTAGTTTCTGTTGTGCCCACTGTGGTTAATGAGCATGGATGTTCGTGACCAAGTACCATAATCTAATAATCATTCATTTGGGAGCTTCCAAAATCAGCAATAGAGCATCTGAAGAAAACCATGCTCAGCACCAATGTGCATAAACACATGTTCTAACTATTGTACATCAGCTTCAATTATCCTACAATTATCCTATCCTTTATGTAGACTGTCTGCTTGAGACTTGATAATATTAAGCAGTCGCAACGAAGACTTCAAAATGCAACAGTGTGATTTCTTAGTTATTCAAAAACCACTCTGGTATTCAAAGAAAGATATGTTATTGGCATAACATTTCAAGATTTTCTCTTCAGCTATGAAGGTTCAAAAACTGTATTAATTTTAAATAAGTAAATATCATAATTCTTTGGATCATCAGTTCCAAAGATCACAGGAAGAGAATATGATGTACTGTTTATACTCTGTGCTGCAATATAGAGAACTGGATATAATTTACTGTAAATAATAAAATCCTCACATCATCTATCAAAATGATTAATAGAAACTTGCTTCTAAACTTGCTTCTTGCTAAAGTGACTGTTATTTATTGACATCATCTATGTTTCAAGTTGCTTGTTCTAAAAATAAGATAAATGCTTAAATGTACATCTCTCAATTGTTTTTCAAGAATGCTGAAAAGCTTTTAATTAGATTTTGTGCTAATTAGGGAAAAGATTAAAAACAAGATTATGTAACACACAACCCCTCTCTTACAATCAAGGAACTTAATTGCTTTTCTAATGCACAGCATTTTTAAAAGTCTCATGGTGTTACCTAAGAGCATACAGATGAGCTGCAAATTAACTTAAGCAGCATTATACATGGATAGAAAAAAATACTTATTTATGACATTTACTCCCTGTCTTCCACTCCAAAATGAAACCAGCTAGCCTTTCCCTACCACTGGTGAAATCTAGAATTTACTTCATGTAAGTTAAATACCCATTTGTGCAATTAATGACTTATATCAAGTGCTTGATGACCATATTTGAGAGACTGAATATATTCTTTAGCAATTGCCTTGATCCCTGATTTAACAAAAAAAAAGCAGACCTGTGTACTAATTTTTCAAGATCATGTATCTTAGTAGTTGTACAGACATCAGAATTATCAGAATTGATCGATCTCTGAGTCCCTTGGTGCTCTCTGAGCTTGGTCGTTTTCTTGTAGACATTGCATTACTCAAACTAGGTAACATCATCAGTGCTAGACTAGCATTAATGATGTTAACTAGTTTGGGTAATGAAACATCTGCAAGAAAAGTTCAGAGAGCACCACGGACCCCTCCTTTCAACACCAAGCTACAAATATTCTCCTTTATTGATAGATCTCCCCTTTGACATAATCCCATTATTATTTTTATTATCATTAAATCTTTAGCCAAACACAAAGCAGGGCGAACTCAAACTCTGCCAAGCATGTGTGTTTTTCATTATCCACACAGAATCCAAATTTACTCTTTGGAAGAGTTACCAGATTTGAGCTGCAGAAATTCAGGTGACCAGAAGTTGACAGAGGTTACTGTTTTCTATATCTCTTTTCTGGCATCTACTAGAACAAGGATCTGATAGAGATATAATCTTTATAGAAAGTACACTAGCACTTTCAAATTGAGAAGCAGAACTGCAGAAGTTCATTCAAGTTTTTGATTTCACTTTTGGCCTTCCCAAGTTTCACTAGGAAAGATTCCTGTTTGAACAACTGAATAGCTATATGGTCAAGTATCTGCTGTTATCAAGCCATCTTCCCTGTTGCTTTTTTAGAACATGAGATCCTTTTCCTGACATAATATAAAGTTGTCAAATAGACAAAGTACAGTTGATGTTGCCTCCTCAATTTATTGTAAGTCCAACCAAAAGGAGAGATAAAAGGTATTGCTTTCTATAAAGTCAGAGATTCATCTAGCTAGTCTAACTGTGGATTTTCAGGAGGAAAAAGGAATTGGAAACAGCTGCATGCAAAGCATCTGCATGATTTCAAAGCTATTATCCCCTCTCCAAATTCCAAAGTATTGCAATTGCCTAAGCATAGGCTAAAACAAATAACTTAGGACCCTTTACATATCCCAATGTAAGAATCACCAAGAATACCAAAGAACCCAGCAAATCTTTTTCATTGTAACAGATGCCTTTCAAATATACATTCCCCATCATCACTACCACTAGCAACTTTTAACAATAATTACAAGCTATCATTTGACAGCAGAATACTCGGATCATCATGGACAGAGAAGTTAACCAGTCTTGAAAGTAACATATACATCCTCAAAGAAAATGTTTACTAATATATGGGAGTTGTCATGGTTCCAACCAAGCCAGCAAAAGAAAAGGCCACACTGTGAGCAGAACAGGTCTTTACTGGAGTCTCAGCTTGGCACGTGATGAACAATACAAGTAAACTGGTTTCTATTCAACTTTACTGGTTTCTGCTAGCAAGTTGGCTATATGAACTCAGCATGCTCCACCCTGCTGTTCCTGGTTGCTCCCAGCTGGCTGCAGCAATTACTCTTGCTGCAGCCCTGTTGCTCCCTGGCTGGCTCCAGCAAGTATTTTTTTGGCCCGGCTCCAGCAAGTACTCTTCAGGCCTGGATGGCTTCTAAACTGATCACAGCTGGCTCCTTTCCCAGCATGAGCCCCATCACTGACATCCATCTGTGGCCCCATGCATCCCCTTCCCCCTGTGCATGTGTAACAATTCCAAAACGTACCTTGTGGCCACTTTGAACAGTGCGCTGCCTCAGACTTTGACAGGAGTATTAGGACAGCCAGGAAGTCATGTCAATCCCAAGGACTGGATGTATCACTCAGCAATACAATAAAGGCAGTGATCCACATTAGATGTGTTTTTATGCCTCCCAGATTACATTTCAGGGCTGAAAATACATTCTGATACTCAAGGTAGTTCTTACTTTTGTATCATTTGATTCTTTGCATTTTAACTGATTTATGGTTTATTAAAGGGCCCAAGATCAAATCTTGGAGGAAAACACTTGCATATTTGCCAATGTATTTTAATCATATATTTCAAACATAGAAAATTGTTGTTGGCATCAATATAACTAAATGACATTCTTGAGGACAGCTGCATCACTAAACACTGCAAGGAACTCTTTATTATTGATAAGGTATCATTGATAAGGTATTAAGACCTTATCTAGGTTCCCTTAAAATCTTAGAGGTTTTTTTTTTTATTTCCATGGCTTTGCACATAAGTATCTTGCTCTTCCATTAAGCAAAACAAAAAGTTACATGGTAAAAAGTGCCACCTATACTGAGAAATAAAAGGTGAGAGGAATGGAGGTAGAAAGATTCACAAAATGTAGCATTAAACAATAGCTTGCAAGTATGTACGGAAGACAAACTCATGTGATTGAATCCCACCACTGATACATTAGAAAAGAACAAAAACTCTCATACTGCCATAAATATTGGACTTTTAAGTATGGCATATTCCCTGCTTAAATTAATCCAGTTTCTATGTTTTAACACCTTTAATATTTTAAAGTT